GATCAGGAGGCCTGAGGCGAGGGAGAGGGACAGGGGAAAAGCCAGTGAGTGGAACAGTCAAAACACATGCCACATATATGGATTAAGTTCACCACCTTATATGGGCAGGTCCGTGGGCCCCAAAACAATAGCAAAATTAACATCACAGATCACTGATGTCCTATGACCATAACAAATATAATGAAAACCTTTAAAAAACTGTGAGAATTGCCAAAATGTTACACAGACATGAAACGAGCCAGTGCTGTTGGGAAAATGACACCACCAGACTTACTTGGTACAGGATTGCCACAAACCTTTAATTTGTTAAAAAAAAAAAAAAAAAAAAGTGATATCCAGGAAAGGCAATAAAGTGAAGTGCAATAAAGCAAGGTAGGCTTCTATAGTGAAGTACCGTGGTTGTCTCCAGGAAAAGCTCTTGTGAGATTAAGTTGTAGGCTGAACTAGCCATTTTTTTTTTTTTTAATCCCCGTGGAACACCATTTTTACTCAGAAGAATAACTGACAAACTGTGGTTATTCCGACTAAGGATTTGGCAGATATTTTTTCAAAACAAACCAAGTGAGCCTGACACTTCAAGGAAAACAACTGACAATATTTGTCATCAATAATACATTTCAGCTTTCGAGCAGAAAACGGATTTTGGAAAACTTGCATCTGCCACTGTAAGCTTGACAACAGCCCAGTACTTACTTTTTCTGATGAGATTAGTCATGTGTGATATTAATGAATATGATTGGTTGACATTGTATATTGAAACATTGAGATTATATAACAAACTGTGTCAACAGTGGGAAGATCTGCATAATTCAGTGATGCTGAAAAAAACCTATTTGGGGAAAAGATCAATTCCACCTGCCAGATAGACCACTGGTTTCAGTATAACGGACTACGTGGTTTCAGATTCCACAATGCAACTAACTTCTAAGAAATTCCACTTGGCACATCTTGGTATGGTAACACTATCCACAATTATCAGAAAGACTTTTAAGATACTATTCATTCGCTTTTTCAACTATTTATATGAGGCTGGATTTTCTTTATATACTTCAAGTAAAACAACATAAAACAATAGATGGAGTGTGGAAGCAAATATGAAAATCTAGCCATCTTCTGTCAAGCAAGACATTAAAGAGATTTGCAAAATGTAAAGCGGTGCCACTCTGCTCAAATTTTTGTTTTGGTAAACTGGTTATTTTCCATTAAGATTTTATTTATGTTAGCATGTAATTAGATGTAACGAATAGTAAGGATAATTTAGAAATTTCTGTTTTGATTTCTGAGACATTCAATATAATAAATATAACCTACATAAGCATTGTTTTTAATTATTTTAATACTTTAATATTAAAATCATGTTTAAAATATTTAAAAATTTTTTCAGTTTTAATTTTTAAAATAGTCAATACAATAAATATAACCTGCAAAAACATAAGCTTTTTAAGTTTTAATTCCAGTATAGTTAAGACAATGTTATATTAGTTTTAGGTGTACAATATAGTGATTCAACACTTCCATACATCACCCAGCGCTCATCACAGCAAGTGCACTGCTCAATTCCCATCGCCTATTTCACCCATCCCCCAACCCACTTCCTCTCTGGTAATAATCACTTTGTTCTCCAAAATTAGGAGTCTGTTTCTTGATTTGTCTCTTTGTTCCCCCTGGGTTTTTGTTTCTTGTCTTGGACTCATTTTACTTAGCATAATACTCTCTAGCTCCATCCATGTCATTGCAAATGGCAAGATTTCATTCTTTTTATGGCTGAGTAATACTCCACTGTATATAGGTACCACATCTTTATGCATTCATCTATCAGTGGATACTTGGGCTGCTTCCATATCTTGGCTATTGTGAATATGGCGCTATAAAAATAGGGGTGCATGTATCCTTTTGAAATAGTGTTTTTGTATTCTTTGGGTAAATACCCAGTAGTGTGATTGCTGAATTGTAGGGTAGTTCTAACTTTTTGAGGAAACCCCGTACTGTTTTCCACAGTGGCTGCACAAGTTTGCATTCCCACCATCAGTACACAAGTGTTTGCCTTTTTCTACGTCCTCACCAACACATGTTATTTCTTGTGTTGTTGATTTTAGCCATTCTGACAGGTATGAGGTGAAATCGCATTGTAGTTTTGATTTGCATTTCCCTGATGGTAAGTGATGGTGAATATCTTTTCATGTGTCTTGTGGCCATCTGTAGGTCTTCTTTGGAGAAGTGTCTGTTCGTATCTTCTGCCCATTTTTTAATTGGATTATTTGTTTTTTTAAACTTTATTTTATTATGTTAGGTCACCATACATTACATCATTAGTTTTTGATGTAGTGTTCCATGATTCATTGTTTGTGTATAACACCCAGTGCTCCATGCAGAACGTGCCCTCTTTAATACCCATTACTGACCTAACCCATCCCCCCACCTCCCTCCCCTCTAAAACCCTCAGTTTGTTTCTCAGAGTCCATAGTCTCTCATGGTTTGTCTCCCCCTCCAATTGCCCCCCGCCTTCATTTTTCCCTTCCTACTATCTTGTTTCAGAGGTACAGTTCTGTGATTCATCAGCCTTATGCAATTCACAGCACTCACCATAGCACATACCATCCCCAGTGTCTAACACCCAGCTACCCCAACTCTCCCACCCCCCACCACTCTAGCAACGCTCAGTTTGTTTCCCGAGATTAAGAATTCCTCATATCAGTGAGATCATATGATACTTGTCTTTCTCTGATTGACTTATTTCACTTAGCATAATACACTCTCATTCCATCCACATCGTTGCAAATGGCAAGATTTTGTTTTTTTGTGGTTTTTTTGATGGCTGCACAATATTCCATTGTATAGGGCGCCTGGGTGGCTCAGTTGGTTAAGCGACTGCCTTTGGCTCAGGTCATGATCCTGGAGTCCTGGGATCAAGTCCCACATCGGGCTCCCTGCTCAGCTGGGGGTCTGCTTCTCCCTCTGACCCTCTTCCCTCTCTTGCTATCTGTCTCTCATTCTCTCTCTCTCAAATAAATAAATAAAAAATCTTTAAAAAAAATATTCCATTGTATATATATATATACCACTTCTTCTTTATCCATTCATCTGTTGATGGACATCTTGGCTCTTTCCACAGTTTGGCTATTGTGAACATCGCTGCTATAAACATTGGGGTGCATGTACCCCTTCGGATCCCTACATTTGTATCTTTGGGGTAAATACTAAGTAGTGCAATTGCTGGATCATATGGTAGCTCTATTTTCAACTTTTTGAGGAACCTCCATACTGTTTTCCAGAGTGGCTGCACCAGCTTGCACTTCCACCAACAGGGTAGGGGGGTTCCCCTTTGTCCACATCCTCGCCAACATCTGTCGTTTCCTGACTTGTTAATTTTAGCCATTCTGACTGGTGTGAGGTGGTATCTCATTGAGGTTTTTGATTTGGATTTCCCTGATGCCGAGCAATGTTGAGCACTTTTTCATGTGTCTGTTGGCCATTTGGATGTCTTCTTTGGAAAAATGTCTGTTCATGTCTTCTGCCCATTTCTTGATTGGATCATTTGTTCTTTGGGTGTTGAGTTTGATAAGTTCTTTATAGATTTTGGATACTAGCCCTTTATCTGATATGTCATTTGCAAATATCTTCTCCCATTCTGTCGGTTGTCTTTTGGTTTTGTTGACTGTTTCTTTGGCTCTGCAAAAGCTTTTCATCTTGATGAAGTCCCAATAGTTCATTTTTACCCTTGCTTCCCTTGCCTTTGGCGATGTTTCTAGGAAGAAGTTGCTGCAGCTGAGGTCAAAGAGGTTGCTGCCTGTGTTCTCCTTTAGGATTTTGATGGACTCCTGTCTCACATTTAGGTCTTTCAACCATTTGGAGTCTATTTTTGTGTGTGGTGTAAGGAAATGGTCCAGTTTCATTCTCCTGCATGTGGCTGTCCAATTTTCCCAACACCATTTGTTGAAGAGACTGTCTTTTTTCCATTGGACATTCTTTCCTGCTTTGTCGAAGACGAGTTGACCATAGAGTTGAGGGTCCATTTCTGGGCTCTCTATTCTGTTCCATTGATCTATGTGTCTGTTTTTGTGCCAGTACCATACTGTCTTGATGATGACAGCTTTGTAATAGAGCTTGAAGTCCGGAATTGTGATGCCGCCAGCTTTGCTTTTCTTTTTCAACATTCCTCTGGCTATTCGGGGTCTTTTCTGGTTCCATACAAATTTTAGGATTATTTGTTCCATTTCTTTGAAAAAAGTATATGGTATTTTGATAGGGATTGCACTGAATGTGTAGATTGCTCTAGGTAGCATTGACATCTTCACAATATTTGTTCTTCCAATCCATGAGCATGGAACGTTTTTCCATTTCTTTGTGTCTTCCTCAATTTCTTTCATGAGTATTTTATAGTTTTCTGAGTACAGATCCTTTGTCTCTTTGGTTAGATTTATACCTAGGTATCTTATGGTTTTGGGTGCAATTGTAAATGGGATCGACTCCTTAATTTCTCTTTCTTCTGTCTTGTTGTTGGTGTATAGAAATGCCACTGATTTCTGTGCATTGATTTTATATCCTGCCACTTTACTGAATTCCTGTATTAGTTCTAGCAGTTTTGGGGTGGAATCTTTCGGGTTTTCCACATAAAGTATCATATCATCTGCAAAGAGTGAGAGTTTGACTTCTTCTTTGCCGATTTGGATGCCTTTTATTTCTTTTTGTTGTCTAACTGCTGTGGCTAGGACTTCTAGTACTATGTTGAACAGCAGTGGTGAAAGTGGACACCCCTGCCATGTTCCTGACCTTAGGGAGAAAGCTCTCATTTTTTCCCCATTGAGAATGATATTCGTTATGGGTTTTTCTTAGATGGCTTTTATGATATTGAGGTATGTGTCCTCTATCCCTGCACTGTGAAGAGTTTTAATAAAAAAAAGGATGCTGTACTTTGTCAAATGCTTTTTCTGCATCTATTGAGAGGATCATATGATTCTTGTTCTTTCTTTTATTAATGTATCACAATGATTGATTTGCAGATGTTGAACCAACCTTGCAGCCCAGGAATAAATCCCACTTGGTCCTGGTGAATAATCCTTTTAATGTCCTATCGGATCCTACTAGTATTTTGGTGAGAATTTTTGCATTCATGTTCATCAGGGATATTGGTCTGTAATTCTCCTTTTTGATGGGGTCTTTGTCTGGTTTTGGGATCAAGGTAATGCTGGCCTCATAAAATGAGTTTGGAAGTTTTCCTTCCATTTCTATTTTTTGGAACAATTTCAGAAGAATAGGTATTAATTCTTCTTTAAATGATTGGTACTGTTCTTTTAGTTTCTATTTCATTGATTTCCGCTCTGATCTTTATATTTCTCTTCTCCTGCTGGGTTTAGGCTTTATTTGCTGTTCTTTCTCCAGCTCCTTTAGGTGTAGGGTTAGGTTGTGTATTTGAGACCTTTCTTGTTTCTTGAGAAAGGCTTGTATTGCTATATACTTTCCTCTTAGGACTGCCTTTGCTGCATCCCAAAGATTTGGAACAGTTGTGTTTTCATTTTCATTGGTTCCCATGAATTTTTTAAATTCTTCTTTAATTTCCTGGTTGACCCATTCATTCTTTAGTAGGATGCTCTTTAGCCTCCATGTATTTGAGTTCTTTCCAACTTTCCTCTTGTGATTGAGTTCTAGTTTCATAGCACTGTGGTCTGAAAATATGCAGGGAATGATCGCAATCTTTTGGTCCCAGTTGAGACCTGGCTGTGACCTAGGATGTCATTTATTCTGTAGAATGTTCCATGGGCACTAGAGAAGAATGTGTATTCTGTTTCTTTTGATGGAATGTTCTGAATATATCTGTGAAGCCCATCTGGTCCAGTAATTGGCTGCTCCCCTGTTAGCGGTATAGATATTTACAATTGTTAGATCTTCTTGTTGGATAGACCCTTTAAGTAGGATATAGTGTCCTTCCTCATCTCTTATTATAGTCTTTGGTTTAAAATCTAATTTGTCTGGGGGCGCCTGGGTGGCTCAGTCAGTTAAGCGGCTGCCTTCAGCTCAGGTCATGATGCTGAGGTCCTGGGATCGAGCCCCACGTCCGACTCCCTGCTCAGCAGAGATCCTGCTTCTCCCTCTCCCTCTGCCTGCCACTCTGCCTACTTGTGCTATCTCTCTGTCAAATAAATAAATGAAATCTTTAAAAAAAATCTAATTTGTCTGATATAAGGATTGCCACCCCAGCTTTCTTTTGGTGTCCATTAGCATGGTAAATGGTTTTCCACCCCCTCTCTTTCAATCTGGAGGTGTCTTTGGGTCTAAAATGTGTCTCTGGCAAGCAGCATATCAATGGGCCTTGTTTTTTTATCCAATCTGATACCCTGTGTCTTTTGACTGGGGCATTTAGCCCATTTACATTCAGGGTAACTATTGAAAGATACGAATTTAGTGCCATTGTATTTCCTAAGGTAAGGTGACTGTTACTGTGTATTGTCTCTATTCCTTTCTGGTCTGTGTTACTTTTATGCTCTCTCTTTGCTTAGAGGACCCCTTTCAATATTTCTTATAGGGCTGGTTTGGTATTTGCAAATTCTTTTAGTTTTTGTTTGTCCTGGTAGCTTTTTATCTCTTCTTCTATTTTCAATGACAGCCTCGGTGGATATAGTATTCTTGGCTGCATATTTTTCTTGTTTAGTGCTCTGAATATATCATGCCAGTCCTTTCTGGCTTGCCAGGTCTCTGTGGATAGGTCTGCTGCCAGTCTAATGTTTCTACCATTGTAGGTTACAGACCTCTTGTCCTGAGCTGCTTTGAGGATTTTCTCTTTGTCTATGAGACTCGTAAGTTTTACTATTAGATGTCGGGGTGTTGACCTATTTTTATTGATTTTGAGGGGGCTTCTCTGTGCCTCCTGGAATTTGATGCCTGTTTCTTTCCCCAAATTAGGGAAGGTCTCTGCTATAATTTGCTCCCATATACCTTCTGCCCCCCCTTTCTTCTTCTGGGATCTCAATTATTCTAATATTGTTTCATCTTATCGTATCACTTATCTCTCGAATTCTGCCCTCGTGATCCAGGAGTTGTTTATCTCTCTTTTTCTCATCTTCTTTATTCTCCATCATTTGGTCTTCTATATCACTAATTTTCTCTTCTGCCTCATTTATCCTAGCAGTTAGAGCCTCCATTTTTGATTGCACCTCATTAACAGCCTTTTTGATTTCGACTTGGTTAGATTTTAGTACTTTTATTTCTCCAGAAAGGGTTTCTCTAATAACTTCCATGCTTTTTTCAAGCCCAGCTAGTATCTTTGTAATCGTCATTCTGAACTCTAGTTCCGACATCTTACTAATGTCCATATTGATTAGGTCCCTGGCAGTCAGTACTGAGGTGAGTTTTTCCGTCTTGTCATTTTGTCCAGAGGAGAATAGATGAATGAGAGAACAAAATGCTAACAACGGCCCCAGAAAAATATACACTAAACAAATCAGAAGAGACCTGAAACCGGGGGGGAAAGAAAGGGAAAGAAAGAAAAAAAGAAAAAGAATATGGTCAAATATGATCAGGCTGGTGAATAGATCAGTGCCACACACTAGATTTTGGGAGTATTTTGGTCTGTTAGAAGAAAGTGCCTCCCAAAATTTTAACGAAAGAAGAATTTATATATGTACAAAACTAAGGGTAAATATGATGAAGGGATAGACAATGACTGTAAAGATGAAAATTATAAAAGATTTTATAAAAGGAATTAAGATAAGAAGTTAGTTGAAAAAAGAAAGAAGAGAAATTAAAAAAGGGAGAGAATGTGATCAGGCAGGAGACTAGAACAAAGCCATACACTAGAAATTCAGGGTGTATTTTGGTCTGTTAGAAGAAATTATCCCAAAATTTTAAAGAGAGAACAACTTATATATATACAAAAAATAAGGTTAACTACAATGAAGGGATAGAATATGACTCTTCCAGAAAGTGGTCGCTTTTCTGTTCAGAGAGTTGCTGCTATTCTTTTCTTCGATCTCCTGTTGAGTTTGTAGGTGTTCAGAATGGTTTGATACCTACATAGCTGAATTCCTGGGACCAGATGAAATTTTATTCTACTCTTCTGCCATCTTGCTCCTCCTCGCATTATTTGTTTTTTGCATGTTGAGTTTCATAAGGTTTATATATATATAACCTTTATATATATATATAACTTTATATATATATATAAGGTTTATATATATATATATTCTAGATACTAATCCTTTATTGGATATATCATTTGCAAATATCCCCATTCAGTAAGTTGCCTTTTAAGTTTTGTTGATAGATTATTTTTGCTTTTATTTCTCAGAAAACAGATCTAGAAAAAAGTTGCTGTGGCTGATTTCAAAGAGGTTACTGCCTGTGTTCTCTTCTAGGATATTTGTGGTTTCAGGTCTCACATCTAGGTATTTAATCCACTTCAAATTTTTGTGTATGGTGTAAGAAAGTGGTCCATTTTCTTTTACATGTGGCTGTCCAGTTTTCTCCACACCATTTGTTGAAGAGACTTTTTCCCATTGGATATTCTTTCAGGCTTTGTTGAAGATAAATTGACCATATACTTGTGGGTTTATTTCTGGGTTTTCTCTTCGGTTCCATTGAGATCTATTCTTTTTTAAAGATGTTATTTATTTGAGAGGGAGAGAAAATCTTAAGCAGACTCCATGCTGAATGCAGAGCCCAACTCGGGGCTCGATTCTACAACCACAAGATCATGACCTGAGCTGAAACCAAGGGACAGAGGTTTAACTGACCAAGCCATCCAGGCGCCCCTACATGTCTGTTTTTGTGCCAGTACCATACTGTTTTGATTACTACAGCTTTGTAATTTAAAGTCCAGAATTGTGATGCTTCTAGCTTTGCTTTTTCAAGCTTGCTTTGGCTATTCAGGGTCTTTTGTGGTTCCACACAAATTTTTAGGACTTTTTGTCCTAATTCTGTGAAAAATACCACTGGTATTTTTATAGGGATCGCATTAAATGTGTAGATTGCTTTGGGTTGTATAGACATTTTAACAGTATCTGGACTTCCAGTCCATAAGCATGGCACTTTTTTCCCATTCTTTGTGTCGTCTTCAGTTTCTTTCATCAGTATTTTATTCCTTGGTGTCTTAGTTTTGGTGCAGTTATAAATGGGATTTTTTTTTTGTCAGTTTCTCTTTCTGCTGCTTCATTTTTGGTGTATAGGAATGCCACAGATTTCTGTACATTTTGTATCTTGCAACTTTACTGAATTTACCAGTTCTAGCAGGTTTTTTGTGGAGTCTTTTGGGTTTTCTATATATACTGTCAAGTCATCTGCAAATAATGAAAGTTTTCCTTATCCATCGATTTGGATGCCTTTTATTTCTTTTTGTTGTCTGATAGCTGTGGCTAGGACTTTCAGTATTATGTTGAATAAAAATGGTGAGAGTGGACATCCTTGTCTTGTTCATGACCTTAGGGGAAAAGCTTTGTTTTTAAAAGATGTTAGCTGTTGGTTTTTCCACAGATGGCCTTTATTATGTTAAGGCATGTTCCCTTTGTTGAGGGCTTTTATTATAAATGGATGTTGTACTTTGTCAAGTGCTTTTTCTGTGTCCATTGAAATGATCATATGGTTTTTTCCTTTCTCTTATTGATGTGCTCTATCACATTGATTTATGAATATTGAACCACTCTTGCATCCTAGGAATAAATCCCACTTGATCATGGTGAATGCTTTTTTAAAAAAGCATAAGCTTTTGAAGTCCGTGATGATTTTTAAGAGTACAAGAAGTCTGAGAACTGCTGTTTTAAGGGCCTCGAGTCCCTTTGCTCTAGAACCCAGAATCATTTGCATATTGCCCTCAGTGTTTTGCAGGCCACAGTGAGCGAGACAAGGCCTCAGCCTTGGTTGAGAGTCAGCAGGGTAGTAGGGGAAGAAGACCTGAGTGCCTGAATGAAAGCCAGACAACCTGGCCTGTGCCTCTGCCAGGAAACCAAATGTTCCAGTGTAGCCACAGGAGGCACTGGGACAGAGGGTGAGAGATGGACTCCCTGGGTGCTGTACCCACAATAAGCACTGGTTTGATCACCCACTTGCATTGTCAATTCTCATTTCCATTACTCTCCACAAGAGGGATTTCAGATTTTTTCTTTTAACCACTATTGGATATTTTGTTTTTATTTCTAGTCATTTCAACCTCCTGCTCTTCCCATTGCCAAATTTCTGATGTATCTTTGACATGCACTGATGTGCTTCCCATTGGCTAGTGCCTCCTTGTCACTGCCAGTGGCCATCCTTTCTCCTGCGGTGTTTGTCATTTGCCTATTAATTACACACATTGTGTCTGCCCCCATTCACTGCATTAAGTAAATGATGTTAGCAGTAGCGGGGAAGAAAGAAAGGTTTTGGGAGATTCACAAACAGTGGTTGTGGAACAAGAAAACTGGTGGTGGGTAGGGGGTGAGTATCACAGTATTTGTATACTGTGGGAAAATATCTTAGCTAAAAAGCCTTCTGTGCCTATATCACTTTGTTAAAAGTGATAGGGAAAGGAACGTTTCTGATCTTACGGTCCCTGACAACACACATAGTGAAAATTGCACTTTACTGAATATCTTGTCAAGTAAAACTAGAGAAATCATTGGACAGGGACAAAGTAAATTTTTAAAATGCCTACTAATATTTCTACCCTTTAGGCTATTGATTTTCTTATGTAAGCATAAGTACTGACACCATTATTTGAAAGATAATTACTTAAAAATACTCAAGTTATATATTCTAAGTAGCTGCTTATTGTAAGGGAGAATGTTGGGGTTGACAAAGGACTGAGTTTATGCACTGGTTTTTGGAGCGGTGCAAAGCAGGTTCATTGGGATGATTGGAAAGGGCGTTTTTTACATGGGAAACTAATTGGCTTGACAATAATTTTGCAGGAATTAGGCCAAGAAAAGATTTGTATGGTCCCTTGGTGATTAATTGCCCATCCCCAGTCATTTATCAAACTTTTTTCTCCCCACTTGTACTTACCTCATGTCTGATTCTGGTTTATGCACTCTGAAGATGCAGCCTGGAATGGCGATCTGAGTACTGTGTGTGTGAGAGAGGGAGGGAGGTAAAAAAAAAAAAATCAAACTTTTGAATGAGGACAAGTGAGAGGTTTAATGAGCAATGACTTGTTTCCAGTTCCTTTTAATTTTGAAGAAAAATCAAAGAATTTGACACACTATAATTTGGGCCAATTTTAGGCAATAAATGTCCTAAAATATTACAAACAAAATTCTGTTACGGAAAAATAAGTTATCTAGCATGAGCCCTTCTGCTACTTGGTAACCACTTTTTTTCTGGCCAGTTTTATAGAGAATGACCTTTGGTAAAAACCACATTACCCTCAGTGACTGTTAAATTGTTTTTGCTCATTTTCATATTTTTTTTTAATAACCGAAAATTTGTACATCTTAATTCCCTTCACATATTTTGCCCTTCCCCCCAAACCCCCCTCCTGTCAACCACCAGTTTGTTCTCTGTATTTAAGAGTCTGTTTCATTGCTGTTCATTTGTTTTGTGTTTTAGATATCACATAAATGAAATCCTATATTGGTCCTTCTCTGGCTAACTTATCTCACTTACCATAATGTATTATTCCTTTTTATGGATGAGTAATATTGCACTGTATATATTTTCCACATCTTTATCCATTTATCTGTAGATGGACACTTAGGTTGGCTTGATAGATATCTTGGTTACTGTAAATAATGCTGCAGTAAACATAGGTACGCATATATCCTTTCAAGTGTTTTCATTTTCCTTGGGTAAATCCGTAGTAGTAGAACTACCAGATCCTATGGTATTTCTATTCTTAGTTTGAGGAACCTCCAAACTCTTTTCCACAGTGGTTGTACCAGCTTGCATTCCCCCAACAGTGCACAAAGGTTACCTTCTCTTGATATCCTTGCCAACATTTATTATTTCTTGTCTTTTGATACTAGCCAATTCTGACAGGTGTGAGGTGTAATATCTTATTTGGTTTTGATTTACATTTCCCTGAGTAGTGACACTGAACATCTTTTCATGCGTATGTTGGCCATCTGTATGTCGTCTTTGGAAAAATGTCTGTTCAGGTCCTTTGCCCATTTTTTATTGGGCTGTGTGGGGAGTTTTGTTGTTATTGAGTTGTGAGAGTCATATTTTGGATTATTGACCTTTTATCAGATACAGAATTTGCAAATATCTTCTCCAATTCACCAGGGTGCTTTTTTTCATTTTGGTGATGATTTCTTTTGCTATGCAAAAGCTTTTTATTTTGGTGTAGTTCCAATAGTTTATGTTTGCTTTGTTTCCCTTACCCGAGGAGATAGATCCAGAAAACTGTTGCTGAGGTTGATGTCTTAGAAATTACTGCCTGTGTTTTTTTTTTATAGGATTTTGGTGGTTTTAGGTCTTCAATTCACTTGGAGTTTATTTTTTGCGTATGTTATAAGAAAGTGGCCTAGTTTCATTCTTTGCCTGTGGCTGTCCAGTTTTCCCAGCACCATTGAAGAGACCATCTTTTCCTCATTGTATACTCTCGCCTCCTTTGTTGTAAATTAATTGACCATATAGGTATGGATGTGTTTCTGGGCTCGCTCTCATGTTCCATTGATCTGTGTGTCTGTTTTTGTGCCAGTACCATATTATTTTGATTACTATAGCTTTGAAGTATATCTTGAAATCTGGGATTGTGATACCTCCCTGCTTTGTTGTTCTTAAGATTGCTTTGAAGTCTTTTGTGGTTCCATACCAACTATGATTATTTGTTCTATGAAAAATATTCTTGGTATTTTGATAGGGATTGCAGGGGGGTAAAATGGATATTTTAATAATTCTTCCAGTCCATAAGCATGGTGTATCTTTCCATTTGTGTCTTCAGCTTCTTTCATTAGTGTCTTACTGTTTTCAGAGTATAGGTCTTTCACCTTTTTGGCTAAATTTATTCCAAGGTATTTTTCTCATAATCCTTTAAAATGATTAAGGAGCTCTAATTTGAAAGTAGATCACTTTCTTGGCAGTTATTGGCAATTTCAAAGCTTTAAGCCTGGAGACTGTGGTGTTTTAACAGGCACAAGTCCCTTCCCCTCTATTTTCTGCACTTGATAGCATGATGAGTCATTCAAGAGGGTGATTCTCTGTCCTGGAGGAGATGGGACACTGGCCCCCTACAGACTGTGGCTGTGCTTGGATCAATTGGCACTGAAGGTGTCTTTTTCCCTTTTCAGGCTTCAGGCTGTGATGGGTCGGAGATTCCTGATGAAGTGAAGCTGATCGGGTTTGCTCAGTTGAGTGTCAGCTGATGTATGTCCCTTGACATCTCCCTGATCTGTCCTGCCCCCCACCTCACAACACTCCCCTCAGTCTTCCTCCCCTGCACCCTGTCTCCCACCCCCTCACTCCCAGTTCCCACAAAATCAGAAGATTGTGAAGAGTCTGGCTTCAATGAAATGGGATAAAAAGGAATTTTTTTAAACTTACAACACTCCGAGTTCTGCTTTATTCTCTAGCAATCCACAGTATGAGAACAAGCAAATGCCACAGCTGCACGACTGTTGCTAATTTTTCCAAAAGCTATTTAATATTCTTAGCAATCAATTCGGATATCCCTTAAGTGAAAAGAATCTGAAATACACTCAGGTGGTCCTATTTATTGGCAACAAAAGGAATTTTTTTTCTATCAGAAGCCTATTTCTTCTCTCGTTGTTCTTTCTGTTCTACTTTAATTGTACATCTGACAATACTGCCTCTTTTATGTTGTATTTAGAAATTAATATACTTATAAAATTAAGATTTATTAGCCAAACTTGAATTCTAGTTTTAAAACTGACTGTGAATTTTATTTTTCATATATTTATGCATTACACACCTTAGCTATAAGAAGAAAAGTTTTTGATTATATGCTTCTTGCAGTTAATCTCGTTATTTAAACAAAAAATTTCAGGTCTATCTTTGGAGTATTTATAACTTTTGATTTTTGAAATGACTGAATTAGGAACTAGGATGCTTCTTCTTTTGGTTTGTTTGCCGAAAAACCAATCCACAATCTGATTCTCTTGGGAGAGGGAGGTGCCTTGCAAACTTTCATATTAAGAATGTGCCTGAGGCTGCTTAACTCTGGAATAGTCTCAGATCTAAAATTTCCTCTACATCAAGTGGCATATGTAAGTTTTGCTTCATTGGAACGTATAGAACGCTATATAAAATGTTGCCATTCTATTAGACTGCTCATTATATACCCCTCTCCGATTTGACTTCTCCTTAAGTGATAGGATTTGTTGTTCCAAAATTGATAAACTTGAAGCTACCAGAATCTGAGTTTTACTTGAAATTCGGCAGAATACCCAGATGGAGTGAAAAATAGAAAGGGTTTTGTGCAATGACTGACTAAAAAGGTAAAATGCTGTTAAGTTTCAAGAATAAATACTTTCAACCCAAGTAGCCCTCTGCTTGACTATATATTACGGAATAGTAAACCTTAGGATTTTCGAAATTGGAGTCTAAACTTTCAGGGAGGTGGGCTCCCAGGATGGTACCATTGCTCTTTCCTAGCTAACCCTAGATATGGCAGCTCTTTAATGTACTTTAAAAAGCAAATATATATTACTAAGGAAAGAAAAAGTTATTTATAATTGCCTTGTCAGAATTGTTGAGGTGTTCTAGAGCCATTTGCATACAATTTAATGTAATTTCATTCCATTCTATTGTTTACACAATGATTACTCAAAGATGACTGCAAAGGTAAAAGGAAAATAAAAGTGTATTGCACAAAGTGATGGTGTCCCAGTGTTTCCTTCCCCCTCCAGGTATCACATGCATGGCGGTGGGGCTAGTCAGCACTTTGACGCCTCCTAAGACCTAACGAGTGAAAAGCGCCCTCAAGGGAACAAGGCAAATTCACACTCCATGTAGACAAACTGTCTGAATTCAAACCATAGGGCTGCAGGGAACAAGAGAAAAAGAATTCCTCACCACGGCTTCATTTTCGGCCGGAGGCTTGGCGTGCTTATGATGTTTCCAGGGTCCTTCACGAAGCGACTTCCAGAGCCAGACTCCCAGGGCCCGAGTTCTGATATCCAGAGCATATTCTTAACACTGTACACTTGGTGGACAAAACCAGTATAAGACAAGACCCTCATCATCTAAAACATGTGAAGAACTGAAGAACCCTTGTTTTGCAACATAGTATCATAGACTATCTGACTGATATATGCTCATAGTCCCATAGCTTTACTGATTGTATATAAACTCCCTCAAATACTAAGACAAAGATTGTTTTAAAATGAAGGGCCCATAAGAACTGACTAACAGTATGAACACCAGGGTCAAGTCCATACACAGAAATTACCCATGAGGTCCTGCAGAATTGCTGGAGGAGGACAAAGCTCGGGATCAGAGCGTCCAACCCTCCAGGCGCGAAGAGGTGTCTGAGCAGACACGGCAGCCCACTCTGTAACATTTTTCTTCTTAAAGTTAGGAGAAATACATTGTTTCCTAGTACTAAGGCCGGGAAAGAAATTTCTCTAGCAAATTAAACTTATGTATTCAGAAACTTCAGAACTCTCAAAACAGTCCTACAACACACATATAGTAAGTTTGGAACACACTTACCTTTTCTAGTACTTTCAGCAGCTACCCAGAGGTAGGTTATGTGATAGGAAGTGCCAGTCATCAAGGAGCTGAGAGCGTGGTCCAAGCAGTTATGGTAATCAGCAAGTATAAAGGCGTGAGTGCACGATATATCCTTCAGGCAACCCTCCGTGACTGTTTCTCTTAACCAAGCTTTTGATTACAGGGGACCCGCAGCAATGCAATGTTGTGATCCCGCTCACTGGCAAGGACCTAAACTTCACTGAACACATATGTGGTATCTGTTTGGACAGATTCCTCTGTCTTGACAAATAGGTGGGTTCACAACCCCTTAGTAAAATCAAGGCACCCATAGCTCTCTGTCTAAATACATATAAAAACTGTTCTGCATCCAGGGTGCTTCTATTGTGGTTAGTGTGCAAAGTTGTAAAATAGAAGCAAATTCCCTTTTATCTCATTTTAACTCCAATATATCGTCCTTATGTGAACAAAATGGTTTTCTATATTTAAAACAACTTTTAGAGGGGTGCCTGGGTGGCTCGATTGGTTAAGTGTCCAACTCTTGATCTCACCTCAGGTCTTGATCTCCGGGTCATGGGTTCAAGCCCCACGTTGGGCTCCATGCTGGGTGTGGAGTCTACTTAAGAAAAATAAAAACTTTCAGAGACACCTATAAGTCATGTGTGATGAAAATTTCTCTAGAAGTACCCTTGTAAAGTTCCCTTATGTGTTCCATATCTTATGTGCTGGTAAAATAAACATGGTGGATGGCCACCTCCTCTTCATGTCTGAGTAGGGTGAGGTAGTAGTCTTTAGAGGAAGACCCAAGAATTCCCTCAAAAAAAAAAAAAAAAGTCCTATATACAATGATTTTAGCATGTAAAAGTTTCATATTCATATTTTTCAATCCCTCATTTCAGTAATGCATCTATGGTCTGTTTCAGTTTTAAGCAATATACCTCATGGGTGAACCCTCCAAGTTAAATTACAGAGATGGTGAGTATGAGCCCATTCACACTGGAAGACTTGTCAAAACTTAGGATTTGCATTTGACAGCAAATGATCTGAGGTCTTTTTTTCTTGGAAGCCTATTTGATAACAGAAGCTGTTGCTTAGTGAGGCCCATTTAGGTTGTGATAGGAAGATCATATGATCAATTTAAAATGGTTATCTGTTCCTTATAACTGAGAACATGCTTCTAGCTCATCCATACGTGGCTTTATACAGTTAAGATTCGCTTGCAGGGAACTCAGATATAGCTCGGTTTTGAGGCACATATTTATTGTCAAAGCAGTTAGGCAATCCTAGCTAACAACTCTTGACTCTCACCAGGATCTTAAGGGGCAGGTTGAGTGTGTATCATGTGCCACAGTGGGTGGTACTAGAACATTCCTCCTCAGGGCCGGAATGTCCCAGCCTAGAACCATGGAATGCTTTCCAGAGTTCTAAGTTTCAAGACGTCTATGAGTAGGCCTAACAGACATAAACAAATGGCTTTCAAGTGATAATTTCCGTTGTGTATCTGCGTGAGCTAAAAATTCAAGTGTAATGAGTTTGATTATAAGTGAGTGTTATCTTTAAGCTGATGCAATCTGCCTGGAGTTTGGTGCTTGGGATGTGCAGTCTCAGGAATAATAAAAACATTTCAATGCATGTAACTGGTGCAGACAGTAAGAACACATGTTGAAAATGATGAAGTGACTAACTTCCTCAGTATATCAATTAACCACTACAAAAAGGGGAGGGGGGTGCTGCAAGGCATAAAAAATGGTCAAAAATACATTTCCAAAATGTCTCAGTGGTTGCCTAGACGATATTTTGCCATGGGGAAAATGCATGGTCAAATAACAATGAAGTCCTTTTATCTGCCTCCTTGGGCTTTGCTCCCCAATCCTAGCCAAGGAGTTTGGGAATCTAAGAACACAGTTAGGTTATCGGCCACTGTGCATCTTGTGCCAAACCAACGGATGCTGTTTTTAATCGAGCATCCCCAGGTGAAAAAGCTGAGAGAGATACATAAAACTTCCCTCTACATGAGTTATAGCATACAAAAACATCATTAGCTGAAGTTTATTGAGCCCGTATAATTTAGCTCATAACTCATCAAAGGGCAGGGAATATTATTAAAAGTTATAATCTTCTGCTATTGTTATTTGAATTTGCTACAGAATGATGA